TTTGTTGGAAATGCTTTTCATAACGCGCCAAGTCTCTCAACCATCACACATAAGCACTGACTTGATTGAATTAGTGTTGAAAATCCGTATGTTGTTCACGCTTTGTGCTGAGTGCTTTAAGACCTCTACAGTGGTTTCAGGTTAATGAACGCCTGTCTTGCTGTATTTCCGATCCTGGCTGGTTTTGACGTCCTTGTCTTGGCCGCCACCGCCTGTAGTTGAAACAGTGCTGCCCAGACTGGTTAGGTGAAGGAGGCTACTTCCTTTAAGTTTCTCGTGTTGATGGTGAGTGCAGCTTGTTGTTGTTGTTTGCGGTGTTGGTTGGGTATCTTCATCACCTCCACCTCTGTCTTCTCTACGTTCACCTGAGTCAAGTCCCATCTTCGCTGCCCTGCCCTACCCCGCCCCGCCTCTTCTGTCAACTTGTTAGTTTTCACCTGCAGATGTTCAAGTTTGTGCGACATCAGACATAAGTCATCATTGGCGAAATGCAAATCTTCTAGGGTCTTTTCCTCGGTCCAGCTAGCGTATCCCCCTCTTCTCTCTCCTCACTGTTTGTTGCATCATCCAGTCTAGTCGACCACAATAAGAAATATCATGGGTGATAGTAGGCGGCAGCCATGTTTTACTCCTGTCTTCACACTTAAAATCAAGGAAGTTTGCTGGAACTTTATTCTCTGAAAACTTAGGAATTATACATGTATTAAAAAGCTTTGTACTTTCAATGGATATATTCCAGGTAAATGACTTCATTTCAAACTATGTAAGATATTCACAGTTTTATTTAAAATATAATTTTTGCAAAAGATAAAATAAAAATACATTTGTTTCAGTCAAAACTTGGACGATATAGTAGACTGTAATTCCATTGTAGTCTGTCTATTAGATGCATCGCACAATCAAACAGGCTCAGACTAAAGTCCATTTAGTTAGTCAAAATCGACCGAATACTAATGTATCATCTAACATCTGTCCTAATTAATTGGATACCCACTAACAATCATATCATAATGGAAATTCCAGGCTATGAAACAAAATTCCTTCATCATTCTTTTCTATGCTGTGATGAATTTCAGCTGTAAGTTAGCTAAGGATGATTTCTACTATTAAATAAGGGACTTCATCAATTAAACACGTTCAGCCTATTTCAAAGTTCTTGCCGGAGATCAAAATACTCAGAATAAAAGTCTAGAATTAGAAGTAACATAGGCAGCCAATTGGGAGTAGTTTCTAAAAGGTTATTTAATGGAGATTATCTTCTAAAACTTTGCGAATATCAAGATATATTTCTAGTCAGCATCCACTTTAGGCAAAGCTATCACTATTGTACTACCTGACGTTCTTCTTTTGTCATTCAATTCTGGATGTAAATACATTTCCTTGCCATAGGCTACCAGTGATGTGAGTATTTTCAAAACTACTATTCCTTTTAGAACACTTTCTTGGACCCTAATATCGCTTCAGTTTATGATAAGCTCATTTCGAATTTCAGTGGTTAGCAAATTGGTTGCATTTAGTACGGTAAATGAATATCGAAGCCAAGCTAGATTTTAAGACTGACCGTTAAACCTCCAGAAAGTATAGATTGGCAGTGATTAAGCTTGTAAGACACAGGATCTAAGAAGATCCAGTTTAAAAAATCTGGATCTCTATGAGTCTTTCGAAGCTTCTTAATGCCTGTAGGTCTGTTTCTTTAGATAAAGAGCAAAGTGTAACATAGTATTCACCTGAGGAGGCGAACCCTGGTGACCAGAAGGTACAAGTGAGATGAAATCAGTGGTTACACCCAGTAAATAACGAGACGTTATTCCAGCTCATCCGAGCCGCTGTTGGAAAGAGTGTATTAAATAGATAGTGTGCTGATCAAGAACACCTAAAAACCTGCGCAGAGCACTCAGGAAGACAATTTGGTTAATCCATTGAATTGCCAAATTCAACCTCAGAACATAATACTATTCCACCGCATAAATGTCAAATAAACAACCTAATGTTGAATTAGACACTACCACAGTGCCAAAGTTTTACTCTTACAGTAACCCCATCCTGTTTCTGGTGCTCCATGATCGGTTAACACTGACAAACCTGAGGAAGTGAAGAGTAAAGAATCCCAACTGCAAACGTAATATAAGTTATCCGTACTAGAAGACCTACCGTTGGTCCTTTTTAAGAATGAACGTGAGACTGTAATAAAGAAACCAACTAAATTTTTTGAAAAGGTATGGTAGATTAAAACCGCTCCATCACTCTGGCGTCGGGAGAAAGTTGTTGATACATTTAAAAATAACCTACGTTATGCATACAATGATCTTTAGGGTACCATTCTGTTAGTCATTGCGTCAAAAATACTGACTACCGCCATGATTCAAATAATGTGAGAAAAAGTGATTCCCAAGGAGTAGGCAGGGTTTCGATACATTATGCATGCCTGCTATACTGTTCATTGTTCACCACCATTTGGAAAAAAAGAGGTGGCCAGTGTACACCATTTGTGTTTAATCAATATCTATTACTGCATCAAAACTACCCAAATGGGAACCAAGAAAACAGACAGTGACGTAATCAGAAATGGTTTGGAAATTGCTGTATACCCCCAATTTTACATAACTTTTGCCTGCTGTTTTCATACCGTTACTAGTTTTTTTTTCCCTCGGCTCTCAAAGCTGAAACTCTTACTGGTCGTTAACTATGTTTACCTATATGTGGATTTAGTGTTGTCAAGGTCATTTAGAAATGTATATATTCAGCACCACTGCCAACTCTATTGACTGCTGTTGAGACAATAAAAAGCTCTTTGTCAACAGTCTGTCTTCTTTTCTTGTCTACACGCATCGGTGGTATTGTTGTTGTGGTGGTTGACATGCTGATTTGCGTTAGAGTCTATTCGCCGTGCATTAAGTTTGCATCGTTCGTAATCTGCTAGGCTCGTACTGTTCGCAGACTGTTAAGTCATACTACTGGTCATAGCAGAAATGAAGCGAGTGGCGATTATACTACAACTTTCTTTTGTCAAAAAGTAAGACGAAAGTAATGAACACTTCTCTGAATGTCTCCTTTGTGACTGCTTGTCCGATAGCACAGTTAGTCCTAATTCGATCTCTTTTTCATTTTCATAATATTATAATATAATCTTGCGTAGCATAATTTTCGTACATATAACGTATGCGATTTAATTCTGAAAGTAATAAATAAGATAACGGTGATGAAAATCCCAGCAAAAGAAGAATGGAAGGAGATGAACGAAAGAGTAAGAAATTATTTCAAGCTTAGGGAAGAACACGATGTGTATGTATCTGATCTACTGGGATAGATTTTAAAGCACACGAATTAGCAACACTAACTACTAGTCTAAGGCCAGATCGAAAACTACCACCTTGGTGTGGTGACCAAACTTGTATATCACAACCACCTGATGAGCCATGCTGGTGGAACACCTTTTGCCTCGAGGTCCTACTACAACAGAAAGATTGGTTGGATAAAGCTAAGACAAATAATTTATTGTCATAGTGTTAATCACTACGCTAAGTGGGGGTTTGAGGGCGAAGTGGTAGGGCTGGCTGAAGGGGAGCGTAACAGCAGTAGGGTGTTTCCCATGGATGACCAGCTGTACCATGCCACATTTCCTATAGGAATGCAAGGGATTAAAGAAACCTAGTCCCTAAAATAGAAAACTCCCTTCTGACCCGCGTGATACAGGTGCCAACGGTATGGATAGATAGCTAGATTCAAAAAGGAAAAACTTAAACCTCAAAAGTTTAAAAAGGCTGTATGATTGGCCTCACCGAATGTTCCTTGGGCTTTGCAGTCGCGCACTAACCCTCCTTCTTCAGCTACCTCAAGAAGAACCAGCGTTCCATAGTATGAGCAGCCGGGAAGTGTCGACCACCCTCACAGCTCTGTCAGTATTTAAGTTCCTTCAGGTCACTGTCAATTTTCGATATCCTTTCGTCTTAATCTTCCTTCACGTCTCTCGGTCAACATTCCTATGTCACCCTTAATTTCAACTCTCTAGTTCTTGAAAACGATTTGATCCCACGGAACGCCATCCTCTGTCTCCTGAAACCACGTTCAAAACTACGTATTAGAGATGTCAATGTCTGCACTTTTCAGCAAATCGGCTAGCCAAAACTTTAGTATCTCAGGTCACGGATTTGTGGTGTGTTTGCAAGACACACATACAAAAACCAAGTGCAGTTATTCACTTATCCAAACCCGATCAGAATGGTGAATCTACAAAATCCACCATCGAGTTTTTGGAGATTTGACATCTAGTTCTTACTGTCTTGCGTCGAAGGTGTAGGCATAGCACTAAGTACGATTGGGCTTTCCGACTGAACGTCAAAATGAAGACTAAAAAGAGTAGCGGAACTCACCGTTGTCTTTTTATAATCCCTGACTACGCACCCACTAGTTGCTGCTCAGATGAAGTGAAGGATGAGTTCAACTCGAAACTGTCAAGGCTTCTACTGAACGCCAAGCGTTCAGATTTAGTTGTTGTTACAGGGGATTTCAATGTACAAGTGCATAGGCTAAGTCAGACGGATAGAAAGGTGCTCAGATAGCACTTTCAGAATCCTAACCAAAAGAACAGATGACAGAAACTGTCCACCCAACACTATGATATCATGCTTGAGTCAATTTGAATTCCAGATTTTTTTAAGAATAGGTCTTGAGGAACATGGGCTGAGACTCTATGAAAAGCGTATGCTTTCTCTGAGTTAGAAATGTGTACTATTGATAAGCAATAAAAATGAGAAAGCTCATATCTAAAGCTATTTTCTAACTGGATACAATGTTTCCAGGATAACTTTAGCACATATTAATCGTTGTATAGACAGTGCATAACTGAACGTCTTTAAAAATAAAGCAGCATTACAAAACGACCTGATTCTAGAAGCTGACATTTCACATACATTTTTAATGAATAGTGAATGGTATGTCATATTTGCTTTAGCCTACGTTTTGCTAACAAATGAAATGATTAAATCAATAAGGACAACTTCAGAGTCAAAAACAAGATTCAATATATTCTAGCTTCTGTTTGATTACACTTTACTCACATCACACTGTATAGGATTAACGAATAATACCCGAATATTACCACAGTGAGTATATATATATTTGTTGAAATGCTTATCGAATCTCATAAAAAGAAAAGGAAACAGCTTTATCAGTAAATTTGCTGAACAATATTTTTTCCCTCTCTCATCACGACTAAGGAATCAGACTACATATTCAGCTGATACTACTGAAAGAGATTATAATATAAACCCATTTTCTGACGGATCAATATAGACATCAGAAAAGGAAATCAAATCATAAGATAGTATTAACAAGATCTCCCTCTAAATAGTGATAACCCCATGGTATAGTATTTATGAATTGATTAAATACTTTTCAAAAAATCCTTGAAGTACATTTAAACGATGATCAATTTCATCCAATTCTGTATCAGCATCATCAGAAATAATTTTCTTCTTTTGATTTCCATGTCTATTAGTTGGATGAGCTATAAAAATAATAAATAGGTAGATAAAATAACAAATAAGTATGAATTTTTGAGATGAATGGGGATTTTTTTTAAATTTAGAAGTAGTATTCATCATGGACTGACATCAGTTGGCGAATCATTGAAAATCTGGGAGCACTGGATAGCTGTTTCGTCTTAGTATGCGACTCCTCAGCAGTATGCATCCACGACCCCACCGGGCAGAGATCGAGCTCACAACCTTCAGGTTTCACAGTGAACGCGTTAACCATTCAGCCACTGTGTTGGTGCTTTCCAGTGGTTCATAATTTCCAACTTCTTTCAATTCATGACATAGCGCGAAGTGGGAAGTGAAGTGGATGCTAACTGAAGACCTTGGGTGATAGTCGCTCTATGTCGTGAATTGAAAGAAGTTGGAAATTATGAACCACTGGAAAGCACCAACCCAATGGCTGAATGGTTAACGCGTTCGCTGTGAAACCTGAAGGTTGTGAGTTCGATCTCTGCCCGGTGGGGTCGTGGGTGCGTACTGCCAAGGAGTCGCATACTAGGACGAAACAGCTATCCAGTGCTCCCAGATTTTCAATGATTCGCCAACTGATGTCAGTCCATGATGAATACTACTTCTAAATAACTATGAAGTTAGAATATATTAATGTAAAAATCTGTTCGTTGGTTGGGAAGTAATCGGTAGGAAACCCTCCTTAACCCCAGTTTCGTTCTGTTCAACACTCATCAGCAAGGCATTTCTTCGACCTCAAAGGAAGTGATGTCACCTATGAACTACGAACCCGCATCAAACAGTGTTGCAATCAGAGATTTTGACACTGAATAACATCTGGCTATTAAACATCATAGTAGAGTGCGATGCGAACCGAGATCATATATACTAGGCAGATGAACAACCCAGAATGTTTATTATATTATCGTGAAAATATCCCCATTAAACAGGCATTTATTTATACAACGAGATTATAATATAATGTTATTGAGGGGCACTTATAATTAACTTCAACTTGGTTTGGTTCCATGGTTCATAACTTTGAGATGCTGGCCAGTAATGGATTATTTATTTATTCAAATATATGATTTAATCATCAATCAACTCTAAATAACACCATTTGTTGATATGATTGTAATTCTCCATTGTTTTACTGAATCAAATTGTTCGACCTCTATTGGCTACGGGTTTCTATCCAGATGCCTTGATACTGTCTGAATATTTATTATGATAATTATACTTAGTTGTGGCTAGGAGAAGAGTCCAGGACGCGCGTTTTGTCCTATTTGGGACTCGCCAAATGGATGTACCTGCACCCTAGTGGGTGATCTTGTTTCCCCCTGAGAGTCAAATCCAGTACCCACCGCTTCAAACGCCAAGGCGTTATTGTACCTCACTGGCCTATTGGATAATGCTGTGGTATTTGAAGAGATGGGTACGAGGTCCGAGTCTCAGTGGGAACAACATCACTCACTGGCGTGCAGGTACACCCAGCTGACAAGTTTCAAATAGGAAGAAACGCACATCCTGGATTCCTCTGCTAGCCACAACGAAGTAGAACTATCTAAATGACACTACCTACACAAGGCTCGCCAACTTTTATTGACAAAGCTATAAAAGGATAACTAAAGATAAGGAAGTAGGACTATTGTATCTAGCTTATAAAGGAGAGATACAGTAAGAAAAAAAAGTATTACATTATGAGATAACTAGTAGAACCGAAGTTAGTAGAATCAACCAAGGAAAGAATTACTTTATTGGTAGTCAACAGGAGAGTTTATCTTCTCATCCAATGGAAATTACATTTGATCATTACACTATGCCTATCGAAATCTTAACAGTTTAGTACAATTTAATGTTCGCTAAAAAGTAATAAACCCAAGTTGATTGGATATCATCTCTACTTATCGAATACCAAACATTAAATTGTTTCGGAACTAAATAGTGGTTGAAATTCATGGTTATAACCTGGATTCAATTCTAAGTATGCAATAAGAAATGAGATTTATTTGTTTTGGAGGTTCGTAGGGAGTTAGTGATTATTCAAGTTTGTATTCATCATGAACCGACATTAATTAGAGGAACATTGGAAACCTGGGAGCACCAGACAGCTGTTTCGTCCAGGTATTAGACTCCTCAGCAGTGCACACTTCTGACCTCGCTAGGGATCAAACTCAGGACTTTCAGGTTCCATGGCTAGCAAGATACTATTGAGCCAGTGAGTCATTTATGTCTAGCTTCGATAGGTGATTCCTGAAGTTCCAGTGAGAAGTCATGACCGGTGCTACAAACATGGTGGCCATGAGGACAAATATTCAACGATGACATTGGGCGATGGTTGAGCTATGTCATGGACTGACAGAAGTTGGACGTATGGAACATTGGATTACGACCAGTGGCTCAATGGTAACGTGCTGGTTAAGGGACCTGAAGGTCCTGGGTTCGATCCATGGTGTGGTAAGGTTATGGGTGCGCACTGCTGAGGAGTCACACACTAGAACGAACCAGCTGTGCAGTGCTCCCAGGCTTCCAATGTTCCTTCAAATGACGTCAGTCCATGAAGAGGTTTATTTTGCTTTTATTTTTCACATCGATCGACTAAGTGTATAATGGTTACAGTTATGGCTTAACAATAGACTTCCCCACGATTTTATCCCTTTTCTAACTGGTTCTTATCGAAAAAGTTTAAAGGCACGTGTTTATTGGTAAAGAATTACAAAAAGAATGGGGAATATACTACTACCGAACAATTTGAATAGTAGCAGTACACTTCACTAGTTCATGACACTTTCGTGTCAAAGATAACACACTATGATGTCGGCTTTAGCGGGAACCTTGTTGACACCATAGTCGGGCAGTTGAAAAACTACTCAGCTGTCAGAAATGTCAACGTGAACCGTGGAATGTGTGAACCACTTGAAAATTGAAGAAATGAATAACATTTGTGGAGGTAATATAAGTCATGAAGTATGCTTCCTTATAGGCTTCAATAACTAAAATTAAGATACTTAACGACATTAGGAGCCAACCAGAATTAGTGTATCAACATACTACAGTTGTTTTACTTCTGTATGAAGCCTCTAAAAACAGATACACAATGTATTCAAAACACCTCAGATTTATTGGTAGTATTCACATGATCTGAAGTCAATGAGGAGCTGAAAACGGAAGTGTTGATAAGAAGCATTACAGTAACTGAAAAACCGATAAAAAGCGATATCGAGGTATCCAACAAACAATAACAGTTTTCAGACTCGTAGAGAAGATGAAAAGGCTCTATTTCCTCATCATATTAAACACTAAAATAATTCTCCTCTAGAATTGTACCGTCCGCATAGACAAGTTAATTGTGAACCGGATAGTAGTCTTTTTGATGTAATGTTGATAAAATTTCCATGAAAAATCCGCGGAATTGGTGAAATTACAAGTATTAAGACCAATAAGAATCTTCAATTCATAGATTTTGTTGAATTTGAATATAGCGGAAAGAGTTGTGTAACATTTCAATTGCAATAAACCTGTTGAATCAGATGGTAACTAACAAGGAATATTCAAGAAACACCTAGACCATCAGGGTGAACAGAGTTTGTCTTCAAAGTATAAAAAAATACACTTGACTGGTTCGAATATCTGTTTGATAGTAAGGATTGATAGTGGTTAGCATCGGAATCTAGGAAGCATGTTTCGTTCTAATTGCGACTCATCAGCTACATGCACCTAGCTGCAACTGAAACTCGAACTGAAAATCAAACGTTCCTAACTCCAAAGTGTTACCTGCTAAGCCAATCATTGTGTGATGTATATATATATATATATATATATATATATATATATATATATATATATATAATTTGTTCTTTGAGTTCCTAGTGGAACATAGGCCTTAAGTAGCAAATCTCCATACCACTCTCTTCTCTGCAGTCTTTTCAACCTGCCTCCACCACTGCCCACAACCTTTCATTTCTTCCTCACACCATCTCCTCCATGTCACCCTCACCTCGGACGCCCAACTCGTCATTTCCCCTTTGGATTCCACTCGACGGCCTAACGCGTGATGTCCCCAAGTCGTCTTCTCACTATATCTCCAGTCCAGTCCAGTCCAGTCCAGTCCATCTCCACTTTTTTCTTCTGCATGTTTGTTGGGCGATGGATTCCTGGTTGGTTCGTTCACAGCCAGCCAGCCAGCCAGCCAGCCAGAGTTCCTTGTTGCTTATTCCTACTATTCCAGTCATCTGATCTCCAGTGTCGAGCCAGTGTAGGCAGTTATTGATGAGTGTCTGTAGTTTGTTGGAAATGCTTTCCGAAACGCGCCATCAAGTCTCTCAACCATCACATAGAAGCACCGACTCACTTGACTGAATTAGCGTTGAAAATCTGGATGTTGTTCACACTTTATGCTGAGTGGAGTGCAGTGGAGTGGAGTACAGTGCAGTAGATCTCCACACTGGTTTCATGTTAATTCAGGAAGACCTGTCTTGCTATCTTTCCGATCCTGTCTACTTTGATATCCTCATCTATGCCACCACCACCTCCGCCTGTAGTTCAAACGATGCTGCCTTACCTAGGTCGGTGAAAGAGACAACCTCCTCTAGGTTCCTCCCGTTCATGGGGATTGGTGCTTGTTGTTGTTGTTGGTTAGGTATCTTCCTCACCTCCATCTTCTCTACATTCACCTGGAGTCCCGTCTTCGCTGTCCTGCCCCGACTCTTCTGTCAACTTGTTGGTGTTGTGCCTATAGATCTCCGAGTTTGTGCGACAAGACATTAGACACAAATCATCATCGGCAGCGGAATCCAAAACTTCTACTAGGGTCTTTTCATCGGTCCAGCCAGCGTATGCCCATCTTCTCCCTCCTCACAGTTTTCTGTTGCATGATTCAGTAGAGTTCAGTCGACCACAATCAAGAAGATCATCGGTGATAGTAGGTAACCTTGGTTTGTCTTACTCCTGTCTTCACTTCAGAGGTGTCACTGAGCTTTCCATTGTGAATCACTTGGCATGTAGCCTCATCATACAGCATAGCATATAGCTGTTGAATGAGGTTGATAAGGGTTTGTGGCACTAAAACCGTAGTGTTGAAGTAGCTGCCTGACAAATTATTTCTCGGTCAACGCTATCGAAGGCCTTTTCAAAGTCGATGAAGTTGAGGCTGAGTTGAGTTGACAGTCATTCTATGCCCCGTTCTATGATGATGCGTAGCGTAGTGTTGCAATTTGATCCGCCCATGATTCGTTCCTCCTGAAGCTAGCCAGTCTGTTACGGTCATAATTTTGAATCCAGCGCATGCTTTAGTCTCTCTAGGATGATGTGGCATAATATTTTGCCTGGGGTGGACATCAGCATGATTCCGCGCTAGTTCTTGCAAAGACTTAGGTCACCCTTCTTTGGGTGTTTGACAAGGAAGAGCCCATATGCCAACGGAGGCCGATTCAATCCCGTCCAATCAACGACGGGGAATTCAAAACGATAACAATAAATCTATTTAAATGACTGGTTATTGTTCATTCTTTAAAGACAGAAAGAACGTAAAATGATGTATACGCAGCATGTTCACAATAGTTCTTTGAAGTTTCACTGCGAAACAATAACTTTTACAATAAAATGAACACTATCAGATAACAATATGCCTGAAATCAGAAAAACGTTTCATTTGCAAATCTTACAATAGTTTTTATTCGATAAATCTGAAGTGATGAGAAGTATTTCAATATATAACAGAGAAAAGTGTATTGTCACTTACGCCGACGAGATAGTCTTCCAGAACACAAGCTATAAAGAAGGAAATTAAAATAAGTAAGTCCATTTATAAAGAAAACATAATAAAGTTTAGAAAAAATATAACAAGCATACAAATGTACCAATTACAAGTTGGTATCCATCACGAATTGACACCAGTTGGACCTCAACCCAGTGGCTAAGTAGTAACTGAAACGCTCTGAGTTCGAACCCCGATAAGATTACGAGTTTGCACTGCTGTGGATCCTCATACTAGGACAAAACAGCTATCCAGTACTCATAGATTTTCAATGATTCTCTAATTGATATCAATTCATAATGAATACCAACTTGAAATGAATAAATCCTCACAAAGTCGAATAATGAACACCCCATTTACGAAATTATCACCTTTATTTAACCATGTCTATGCTATATAAATCCTTGATAGTATAAAAACTCTGCTTTGTTTATGAGAAGAATGAACATTGACTTGTGCCAATCATTCATAAGAAGTAAAATGTTCATCAATACAGCTAAAAACAGTATTTTTCTAAAAGTTTTTTATGAGAAGTCAATCGTTAGAAGATCTACTAACTGGAATGAATAAGTTCTATGCAAACAGAAAGCATAAAACTACTTTTCTGTGTTTCACGTTAAGATATCTATCTCAAGAGGATTTTTATAGTAATGTCACCTCATATGATTTACTTTTAGTGGTAGTAAAATTTTCCATATCTCTGGTACAGGTGTTCCATCATTCCTATTACATATGTTTGGTGTGGATTCGATGAACAAAGATTCAGTAATTAATCTCTCTCTCTCCACCTAGCTATATTACACTTAAGTACAGTGGTTTTGTCCCACCCTATTGTGTGGTTGCGTGTTAATGAATGTAATGTAATGGCCGAGTGTTTTTCTAGATTATTGATCTTGTTGGGGTCTGCTGTTCTTTGTTTAGCTAAATTCCTATGTTCTGCTAATCTAACTGACCCCAACCGGCTAATTTGACCTATGTATTTGAACTCACAGTCATTACATAGAATTTGGTAGATTATATTATTTCGCCTAATTGGTTCCATTGCATCTTTTAGCCGACAAAGCTTACCTCTAAGTGAGTTTGCTGGCTTAAATGCCACCCTAATTCCAACCTTGTTGAGAATCCTACGTATGGTTTCTGATGTTCTTTTCTTGTATGGTATCACAATAGAGGTAATGATTTCCTTTCTACTTATGTTGTCGCTATTATTTGTATTTGTATTAGTGTTATTATTTTGCTTCTTATGTGTTTGTGTGAATTTCTTAATAAATTATGGGGATAATTATTACTTATTAACGCTTTTTTTATGTGTTTCAATCCCTTATTTAAGTCCTTACAATGACTAGTGAGTTTCTTAGCTCTGTTATTTAGACATTTGACTACGCCTCTATTGTGATAACATACAAGGAAGGAACATCAGAAACCATACGTAGGATTCTCAACAAGGTTGGAATTAGGGTGGCATTTAAGCCAGCAAACTCACTTAGAGGTAAGCTTTGTCGGCTGGCTTAAGGAACCAATAGAACTAATTCAGTAAAATAATTTAATCTATCAAATTCCATGTAATGACTGTGAGTTCAAATACATAGGTTATAGCCGGTCGGGATCAGTTAGAACAGCCGAACATAGAAATGAGGGCTAAATGTAGAATGACAGACCCGACTAAAATCAACAATCTAGAAAGAGCCTTGGCTATTACAGTGCATGCATTGACACACAACCACACAGTAGAGTGGGTGGGATAAAGCCACTGTACTTAAGTTCAACAACATGAAATTGGTTGCACTCCCGTGACCAATCAATACATGTAAGCCAGTCACGGCCCGAATAGCTCAGTGGTAAAGTCACTGACTACAGCACTGGGTGACGCAGGTTCCAATCTCAGGCGGGACATCAGTTCCGTCGAGGTTGCAGATACACCTTGCTGACGAGTACCAAAAAGCACGAAACCTAGGTCCAGGGCTTCCTGCCGATTGCCTCCAACCAACTAACATCTACTAATGTACACCACAATGCTGAGCTTCCTAGCTTGGTTGCCACATTGCAAATATGAACGATAGAATTCGATCTACGCTCAGGACTAGACAATATGAAATTGGTTGCACTCCCGTGACCAATCAATACACTTAAGTTCAACATAATTAGGTGGAGAGAGAGAGAGATTGATTACTGAATCTTTGTTCATCGAATCAACACGCAACATATGTAATGGAAATGACGCAATACCTGTACCAGAGATATGGAAAATTTTACTACCACTAAAAGTAAATCATATGAGGTGACATGACTATAAAAATCAAATGTTGAAAGTAGTTTAATTACATTGATACGATTATGAGCAATGATAATTTATGCTCAAAATGTCATCAATGTCACTCACTGTGTGTTATAAATCAAGCAAACAAATCTAATATGGAATTAAATTCTACCACAGTTCTCAAGTTTCACACATCAATGAAATTTCTGATATAATATGAATCATTAATTTGAAGGAGAAAAACGTAATGACATATCTAATAGACTTTATTTTGGAAAGATCGAATAATTTCAAGTTAAATCTTTCAAGTTTGTAACTAGGACGATATGAGGTACAGTCATTTTATGAATTTACCATCGTACACAGATAAATACATCAGTAATAACTTCAATATTGAAGTGAATGCTGATGATATTGTCTAGAAAGACAATCAATACTTCATGATTAAACCAACTAGTTTAGAGCACCCAACATAAATAAGACCATCGATATGAGCTACAAATATTCTTCATCATTTTATAGTCCATAAGTACTGAATTATTCTTTGAAGCATTGGACAGTTGAAATAAAAGGGGGCTATCATACTACTACTTATTCCAATTGCAGTAGTCTATATTCTTGTTACCTTTTTTTAATCAGAAAATAAAACGTTATTCCCTACACTCTAAATTAGATGGTTGCTCATGAGAAATTTATTACTTTACAAGGAGAGAGAGAGAGAATTTGCACAGTAGAAACATGAATTTTCACATTTGTTTTGGCATTCTCGGAAGTGTGTCTATCACGAAATATAAAAAAAGGATTAGATGATAGCTATTTGATTGCTAAGAAAAACTTCTTTCCTCAAATCCAATCAAAGTATGCTTTAATTAGGTCAGACGTTAGCTTTAGTTTCAGGAATATAGCAGTGTAAAGACAATAATCATGGCATGTATGCCAGGATGAGGAAAAGAACATACACCTATTCAATACCTCTTATTTCCTTTCCCTTTCTTTGAGATGGCACATAAAATCCAACCAAGAACTCACTACAACTTGAGTTTCAAATTGGTTAACTATTGTTGAAGATAAATAAATGGAGTTTATGGGGTTCTCTTTGCATTATTATATTCATTCTTTGAGAGATATTCAACCTCATTGTTTCAAAATGGGCAGGAGGTTATACCACTTCCCAAATCATGTTCAGATGAAGGTAGTAACTCAGTTTTTCGAAGTTTCAGCTAATATGTCAATCTGAATTGAACTTTGAAAACGAAACTAACATAAGTTTATTCCATTGAATAATTTTTATGATTATTATTATTTTATTTGTCCCTTGGGTTCCTAGTGGAACATACCGCTTCAGTAGCACGTCTCCATTCCACTCTGTTCTCTGCAGTCTTTTCAACTTGGCTCCACCGCCACCCACAAGCTTTTATTTCATCTTCACACCATCTGCTCCATGTCACCCTCGACTAGGACGCCTAGCTCGTCGTTTCCCATATGGGTTCCACTCGAGTGCCTGGTGCGTGATGTCTCCGAATGGTCTTCTGAGTGCATTCCATTAGAAAATATGAATAACAAACTGTAGCGTCTGTGATCACAGTGTTAGATGATGCAACTTCAGATAAAGAGGGAGCAATAAACATCTAAAATTTGGTGCGCGTCCTGCTGATTAATATCAACATGCATAACGGTAGGTGCGGAGTTTTCCCCAATTGTTTCTAAGTGATATCAAGCAAGGAGTGCCGTGATAGTTAGTCTACTAGCTTGCTAACTACACCGTAAACTTAGTCGTTATAATTAAGGCAACATTTAAGAGGAAACAACGACGAGTACTCTCCAGTGACTGACCAGCGTTAAAGGTAAGTTTGCTAGCATCCTTGTGAATAACGCTCCGGCATTTTAAACAATTCGTTCTGCGCTCCAGTCTTAGTGGGAACAACATCACTCGCTGCGAGGTAGGTACATCCAGCCGACGCGCCCCAAATAGGACGAAACAGGCGTCCTGGATCCTACTGCTGACCACTTAGGTAACAGTAAGATAGATATAGCTTGAAGGTTACGGAACCAAGGGATGAACCAACTCTATGAGGCCTTTTGCAGACATTATCGAAACGAGTTAAGGTGTTCACTTTTTATATATCTTCAAATTAATTTACACTCAATCAATATCAACATAGGACCACGCATTACTGCGTAACGGTCCAAGTTGCCACAACTCAAAGCAATACATCAAGTAAGAAGGTAGTGAGATGAAGGATGAAAATAAGAGAATGCAGTCAAAAGAAATATAAAGTATAAGAAAGAAAGGAGGAATGACAAAATGGTGAGACTCAGTATAGCGTCGTTAAGATGAGGATAATATCTGTATACATCTACGCCATTGACATCGATTCTCAGCCATATCACCTACAGTCAGTCTCTAACCACTGGTTCCTGTTGTCCCGTGGACCCCAACCACCTAGTCTGCATCGCCCCACATGACTCAAACCGACAGTCAGAGACTTTATACATTGGTGGCATGTTCTAGTCTGGCCACCTCGGGCCTTTTTCCAGCCTGGACCTACTTTTTTGTATTCCTATTTACTAGTCAGGTTAATTCATCTCACTAACTTTATTTCTTCACTGTACTGTTTTCGAAAAGGGGATGACTTAATTTACATACACAACTGTATAATAAGTTTTACACTGTTTAAGTAACCAATTATTCGATTAGATCGGAAATATTTACTCTTTGTGAGGAAAAAATTAGAATTGAAGGAATCATTCAACGTAATCCTAAAATGTAAATATCTTTTTATTGTGAAATGAATAGTCTCCTGCACCACCCGCCCCTCAATAATTAATGATATGAAAGTTTAATTATTACCTGTACTCAGAATCTACTTCGCTATCAATTTGATGACGTTCCGGTACACGGGAACTTTGTACATTTGATCGTGATACTGAAGATTTATAAGTAGTAATATCATTTAATGGAGTAGGTAAATTGCGTTTATTTTGATTCTGTGAACTATCGCTTCGATGTGTATTAACACCTATTGGTTGTGGAGAACTTGATACATAATAACCATTGACAGGAGAACGAGAAGAACGTAAAGTGATGGACGAGGGGAACAACTAGCTGAACGATTAAAATTATAATTACACGCTGATTGATGAATCCCACCATATTTGGTAATAGTTCTAGGATATGATTTTCTAGTTATACACTCCAAACCAGATTCACATGATGAAAAGCTGGCGAAGACGTTCCAGAATTACGTGGAAGTCGTGTATAAGTAGTATTTTTTGCGTCTAAATTATAACGATTATCTAGACTTGAGAATGATCTTGCTCGTTGATTCGACGTGGTACCAATCAATGATTGCCGTTGAGCTAATTTGCTGGGAAAAAACAACAAACAATAAGACAAAACAATACATCAGACAATTGACTCGCAATCTTAAAAGCAAATGTGAGTACAAATATGTTTAAGTGAAATCACAAGTTCAAAGAATAAACTATCAGCTGACGAGTCCCAAATAGGACGAAATGTGCGTCCTGGATTCTTTCGCTAGCCGCAGCCAAGTGAATTGCCGTAATAAATATTCAATCGGTATTCAGGCATCCGCATAGGAGCCCATATGTCAACAGAGGTCGAACAGTTCGGTCCAGCAAGAACAGCAGAGAATCACAAATACATCAATGAAAATAGTTATAATTAGTACCCGTTGTACAAGTAGCGGCTATCGTACCTCAGCGGCCTGGTGAATAACGCTGTGGCGCTTGAAGAGATGGGTACGAGGTTCGGGTAGCAGTGGGTGAAGGCACATCCAGCTGAAGAGTCCCAAACAGGACGAAGCGCGCATCCTGGATTCTCTTGTGACCCACAACCAAGTGAACTGCCTTATTAGTACACCACTGAGGATAATGGTGAAATGCAAATCTTCGAAACGTTTATATGATTCAAGGCGGTTTCCACTACAAATTGATAACAGTTAGAGAGCAACTAAAGTCACGAAGAAATGGTTAGCTGTTTCGCCCTACTTTGTGACTCATGGGTAGTTCGTACCTAAGAACCTACAGGTTCATCCAATCATATATTACTATTCTTTTCCAGCAGTTCTATAAGAATGAGTGCACAAAATTGTCTAGCACGAGCTAAATTTGTAACGTGAAAGCCGACTATACTCTCTAATTGGCTATATCTCAGTGAGGTGAATGATACATAACTACGTGAAGTTATGTTCATAATCACATATTCTAAGAGATTTCAAGGTGATATTCATCACGGATTGACATCAGTTGGAGGACTGGACAGCTGTTTCGCCCTAGTATAGGACTCCTCAGCAGTGCGCAGCCATGACTTTACCAAGAAGAAAACTCAGGACGTTCAGGTTTCACACCGACCACTTCATCATTGAGCAACAATATTTTCCCACGTCTATCAATTCATGATATAGTCCAAACGTTATCCTATGTGATCGGTGTATAATTGTCCTCACATTCGACTTGTTTGACCTGACAGGTCACAGCTTTTCATTAGAGCTTAGGGAAACCCATCTTGAAGAGTATCACCACCTTAGAATCAACAAATCTCCAGAAATAGCCAAGCCGATAATAAATTATTGAAAAACAAATGATGTTGTGCTACGCACCATACCATTATTGTGCTTTAATTTGAAATAATTAATCGCTTTGATGAACTGTTACGATCCATTATTGCTGTGTACCGACAAAGTTCATCTCACATCTGAACACTTTCGACAAGTTGACGGTGTAGCTATGGATAGTCACTTAGGATCATTTCTAGCGGATATTTATGAGTCATATATCGAAAATCTGGCTGGTGATCTCATCGCTAACGTTCCTCTTTACAAAAGATATGTTGACGACATCATAGTGGTTTGTGAGAGGCATGAGGATATGGCTTGTCTGCTAAATAAACAACGCCGTACAAACTCACATCAGCCTGACTTGCGAAAAAGATAATAATCATCATCTGCGGTTCTTAGACCTACACCTGAGTCGATAAGATGGTTCAATAAGACGGTCAGTTTACAGAAAGTCTACACTGACTGAACGATATCTGTCCAATCCATTACAAGTAAGGTCTAGGAAAATGCCTGTTTACTGGGATCTATCGTATCTGTACGTTAGATATGATGGATAAAGATATCAAATTACCGACCAAAACACTTATGGAAAATGGATATCCATCGAAGTTTATGAACCGTTGTAGAAGTTAAAAAGTAGCACCGAAGTCAACTCTATACACGGTTCCTAAGAAAAGCGTCCATATCACTCTATCATACACAGGGGAGTTAAACAGTATCATTTTGAGATGTAGGCTAACATCAGTCATATTAAGAAAACATATTACACAGCTTATCTCATTATTTTGGAAAGAAACAAAAAACATGCATCATAACAAACCTAAACTCTGCATCAATCATTATGTCAAGGCATGCAGTTGAAGGTGAGAGAACATGTACCTAAATAGCTTCAAAAACAAACAGCGTGAAACCGTAATAAACGCCGGTAAGAGACGACCCTCTTCATCTACAGCTAAACATATCATAGAAACAGGTTACAAAATTAATGTTCAAACAGCTTTCAAAGTTTTACATCGAAACAGTCAGCCAGGGGAATATTCTAAGATCTGCGGAAGTGATAGCCATATACAAATTAAAACCATCTTTATGTGTACAAAAACAATTTGTCTTTACAATACACCTACCTCAGTAAACTTTGTTTTCTTACCAAGATTAGGATCAACTATATCACTCTTCAATACAGGAGTAAAATTTGGGCAATGTGGTAGGTTCTAATTCCATTTTAGTCTGTTTATTAGATGTATCATATAGTGAAACAGTATTATTTACTGGATACCGGAACCTGGTATGAATATGGACAATAAATTATGTCTGAAATGTCATCCAGCACTGTTTCATTGAGTGAAATATTTGATAAATAGATTAAAATGGAGTGTCATTCTTCCTTTTTGTCCTCATCTTTCCAAACTTCAATCCCCTATCACCTTAATTGTCCTATTTGTCTTCTTATTCATAGGTTTTAGATAATGTTATCCGTATCCCGGAGCATCTTTTAAAGATATACAATCACATTCAGAAAAGTCAGTAAGCATTTTTCTACAATAAAAACAGTAGTAGTCGTTGGTAGTAGACTGAAAATAATAGGTAACATACCGTTTAATTGCATTTTCTTCACGTTGTCTTTCTCTTTCTCTTACATAGGCTGTAGGATCAAACCGACGACTATCTCCTATTTATTTAAATTATGTATGCATAAAAAGAAGAGACGATAAAATTACAAGCGAAACCTTGAATTAAATTCATTTTTTTATCATTAAAGTAAGGTGCGTTGAGAAAAAAAAGCACAATTTATTATTTGTGAAATCAGAATAGATAACAAAGACTTTTGATGCGATGGAAGACAAATAAAGAGTCAACTAGTGTGTGCATTACAACCTTTCTCATCTGAATAAACTAATGGAGACAACACAGAACCTGAAGCAACTGGATATCAGAACACTTTATATGCAGATACACTGAAGAGGAACTCAGCATTAAGGATGATAACCAGACAAATATAATATCCACAGTGGACTGACATCAGCTGAAGGAATATTGGAAGCCTGGGAGCACTGGAAAGTTATTTCGTTCCAGTATCGGACTTCTCAACAGTGCGCACCCATAACCTTGCCACCTAGGGATTGAACCCAGAATCTTCAGGTTCCGTAGCCACCATGTTACCATTGAGCCGCTAGGTCGGAATCCAATGGTCCATATTTCCAACTTCTGTCAGTTCGTGGCATAGCGCGACCATCACTCAATGTCATCGTTGAGTATTTGTCCCCACGTCCACCAGGTTTGCCCCATCGATCACGACTTCTCACTGGAACTTCAGGAATCACCTCTCGAAGTTAGTCACCAATGAGCATTAGATCAATTGAATTAGGGGGGGGGGAGTCGTGGGGTTTCTAATTTTCCTGCAACTGATGTCGGTCCCCACAACCCCCCCCCAAATTAAACATAACATCAATAGAAAAAGGGAATAAACAGAATAAGGAAATACTATAATATAACTCTGAAAAGTTAGATGAAGGTATGTTATCGATATATCTCTGCTAATCGCATCAATCCCATGACATTTTAGTGCAGACTGATATACAGTTATCAAATATCGCTTGCTAGGTTAAAAAAAATACGATACACAGCAAGTGACAACCACTCACCACTTCACTAATAATAAGTTATCTTCTTAAAAAGTTTAGATGATGATCAGCATGCTAGAACTTATTAATAACCGTCAGAAAATGCTCAATTCATGTTTCATAATATTATAACAACCGGTAATTTATCAACCTATTTTAGTATTTACATTCATCAGAGGGTAACCGATGTTTCTATCGAGTCCTTCTTGTTCAGCACTGGTCGAAGTCCCTCGATAAGGTTTGTAGGGTAGCCGGTAGGCTAAGTGATACTATACAGCAGAGCACTGCATTTCGGTGTTAGGGTAAATCAACAGAAAGCTCTGACTGAACCTTCCTTTCTTGTTTGCCGGTACTCACCAGGACGGAGTGTATGGAATCATGATGAGACCGGTGTTCCTTCAATCATTCAAATATGTATCACTGAGTGGTGAAGTTAGAAACTTCCTACAGATTAACCTCTAACATTTAACACAAAAATGCAATGTACGCCAAAGTCGCTTCATTTAGTTCAGCTGCTACATTGAAAAGTTGACGGATAGACTGATCACTGTTGAGCACTAAGGGAAAGACATCTTTATAAGTAACTCTCCCTGATAACTAATTTGTGTTCATAATCCTGTCTTCCAGAGGTTCAGTTGTAACTTGAACAGTTCAGTGGTAAAGTCTCTGACCTAGGCATATGAGTGATGCAGGTTTGAATCATAGAGAGAACACCAGCTTCCTCGCAGTTGTGCACACGCTTTGCTGATAGATCCAAACGAACACGAAATCAAATTCCAGAACTCCGAACTTATTGACTCTAAGAATTTAACAAAAGAGGATGTAAATATAGGTAGTATGTAGGTTAACAAATGACAGTCAATTCTCTACCTCAACTTCATCGACTTTGAAAAGGCCTTCGATAGCATTGACCAAGAAGTAATTTGTCAGGCAGCTACTTCAACACTACGGTTTTAGTGCCACAAACCCTTATCAACCTCATTCAACAGCTATATGCTATGCTGTATGATGAGGCTACATGCCAAGTGATTCACAATGGAAAGCTCAGTGACGCCTCTGAAGTGAAGACAGGAGTAAGATAAAACAAGGTTACCTACTATCACCGATGATCTTCTTGATTGTGGTCGACTGAACTCTACTGAATCATGCAACAGAAAACTGTGAGGAGGGAGAAGATGGGCATACGCTGGCTGGACCGATGAAAAGACCCTAGTAGAAGTTTTGGATTCCGCTGCCGATGATGATTTGTGTCTAATGTCTTGTCGCACAAACTCGGAGATCTATAGGCACAACACCAACAAGTTGACAGAAGAGTCGGGGCAGGACAGCGAAGACGGGACTCCAGGTGAATGTAGAGAAGATGGAGGTGAGGAAGATACCTAACCAACAACAACAACAAGCACCAATCCCCATGAACGGGAGGAACCTAGAGGAGGTTGTCTCTTTCACCGACCTAGGTAAGGCAGCATCGTTTGAACTACAGGCGGAGGTGGTGGTGGCATAGATGAGGATATCAAAGTAGACAGGATCGGAAAGATAGCAAGACAGGTCTTCCTGAATTAACATGAAACCAGTGTGGAGATCTACTGCACTGTACTCCACTCCACTGCACTCCACTCAGCATAAAGTGTGAACAACATCCAGATTTTCAACGCTAATTCAGTCAAGTGAGTCGGTGCTTCTATGTGATGGTTGAGAGACTTGATGGCGCGTTTCGGAAAGCATTTCCAACAAACTACAGACACTCATCAATAACTGCCTACACTGGCTCGACACTGGAGATCAGATGACTGGAATAGTAGGAATAAGCAACAAGGAACTCTGGCTGGCTGGCTGGCTGGCTGGCTGTGAACGAACCAACCAGGAATCCATCGCCCAACAAACATGCAGAAGAAAAAAGTGGAGATGGACTGGACTGGACTGGACTGGACTGGAGATATAGTGAGAAGACGACTTGGGGACATCACGCGTTAGGCCGTCGAGTGGAATCCAAAGGGGAAATGACGAGTTGGGCGTCCGAGGTGAGGGTGACATGGAGGAGATGGTGTGAGGAAGAAATGAAAGGTTGTGGGCAGTGGTGGAGGCAGGTTGAAAAGACTGCAGAGAAGAGAGTGGTATGGAGATTTGCTACTTAAGGCCTATGTTCCACTAGGAACTCAAGGGACAAATAACAATGTAGGTTAACAAGACGTGATTAAAAGAAACCCTTTATCGCAATTCCGGCCTTTCGGTGACTAGATAGTAGCATAGAGTAGTGTTTCTCAAGAAATTTGTTATTCTCCTAATTTCATTCTTCCTCAGTCAGTATTGTAAAAAAGCTAACAGACATGTCTTTCTTCCAAAATATGAAGAAAACAGACAAGGTCCACGAACCTATTGTTGAATATTAGCAAGCGTCTTCCCTTTCGGCATTAATAGTAATCGAAAACTTAGATAAGCAGTCAAAACAAGTTGCGTTCACTAGGTTCACCAGTCTGTCCACTTATGTAAACAATATTGTGTACTCTGCTTAGTGGATAGCAGCAGAATCTAAGACGCACATTTCGGCCTATTTGGGACTTATCACCTGAATGTACCTGTACCCCAGCGAGAGTCGAAACCAAGACTAACCACTTTAAACGCCAGTGTTGTCTGCTAGGCTACTGGAGCACAAGAGCTAGCTCTTGTCCGACAGGTATCAACCGTTGTTTGGTGTTTGTAATCCCCCGTTGTTATGCTGGGCTGAGTTGTTCGACCTCTATTGGCTGATGGGCCGTTATGCGGATGCCCCAATGCTACCCGGTTATTCATTATGTTGTAATCTGCTTGATGGCTCGCAGATTGGGTAGATTTTATTGCAATAAATTCCAATAGGCTATTAGTATCTAATATCGCTAGAAAGTATGTGTTATCGTTCCCAATCCGGCTGACCACAACAATTATAGCTTCTTAAGAATATTTAAAGGGTGAGTTACTACTTATAAGTAGATTGGTCGCCCAATCTCTAACTGTTTTGACCAACTGACTGAATTAACGATATTTTTATATTCATAAACGAGCGCCAGTTAAAATTAAGTCCTAATTCTGAAGGTCTTGCAATAGTTTTCACAGGTCAGGTGTTTACACATACGATAGGCGAGTTATAGAGCGCTAACAGTTGACCATCCCTTATAAACTACCAATCATTCGTGAAATTACATCACATTCTTTGAGAAAATCAACTGTAAACTGATCAGCTCCTACAAACCATGAGAATAAATTAATTTTACTGACTTCATCTCAATCATTTCAAAACTAACATTTTATGAAGTAAAACACCAAGTTACTACTTCTATGGCTATCTCCCTCCGCAGTGATTGTAGCATAATTTCTCATGTTCGGATTGGATAATCCAGGGTTTGAGTATCAGCAGGAACACCAACGACACTGACTAAGTGAATTGCAATTACAACCAGCTGACAAGTCCCAATTAAAGCAAAATGTGCATCTCGAAATTAATTACCACCCAATACTGAGCACACTCCATCCATCCATCGAGATCAACATAGGACCACGCATTACTGCGTAACGGTCCAAGTTGCCACACCTCATCTCATATCACTACATCAAGTAAAAAGGCAGTGAGGTGAAGGATGAAAATAAGAGAATGCAGTCAAAAGAAATACAAAGTATGAGAAGAAAGAAAAGAGGAATGACAAAATGGTGAGACTCAGTATAGCGTCGTTAAAATGAGGATAATGTATGTATACATCTGCGCCACTGACATCCGTTCTGAGTCACACCATCTAGAGTCTCTAACCACTGGTTCCTCTTGTCCCGTGGACCCCAACCACCTAGTCTGCATCGCCCCACATGACTCAAACCAACAGTCAGAGACTTCATACATTGGTGGCATGTTCTAGTCTGGCCACCTCGGGCCTTTTTCCAGTCTGGACCTACTTCAGCCAACATTGTGTGACGAGGCGATCGGCGACTGGGCATACGTAACACATGCTCCAACCATCTGAGTCGGTGAAGGTTCACAACCTCGTCAACTGACTTACCTCTTCTCCCCAAAACTCTACGCCTGACTTCTGCGTTACTCACGTGGTGACACCACGGAATACGGCCTATACTACGGAAGTAAACACCTGAAGCCTTCTCATGTCTTCCACCTTCATTAGCTATGTTTTAAAGCCACACACTACCGTATTTTCAGTCGAAATTTTGTAAAATTAAATTCAGGGTGCTAAATTAAATTGCATAATATAAGTATGAAATACCACAAATATAAATTTTCTACAAAAATCTCTTAACTCATCTCTGTAACCTATAGACAATGATTTGTACGGGTTAATGAATTTGACTATTATTGTATCTTCAAACTGAGTAACAACAAGAAAATCCATACTTTGAAAATATCTCCTTGAAAGAGTAACAATAAAGTCTCAACTCAATGTCAAATGGATGAAGGAAATCCTACCTTCAGCCATTAAATATCATTTAAAGTGTACTATAGTGGTAAATCTCCTAGCCTGATGAGTACACTATAAAATGACGCATAAAAATCCATCAGTACCTAAGGAACTAACAATATGAAATTCATTATTTTCCAGTATAAAGTAACAGTTCAGAAACATATCACCAGTTACTTTTTGAGACAGAGAGAGGGAGAGAAACTAGCTAATGAAGACAAAAAATGGATTGTATAAGTTTAAGTTAACTGATATTGTCAATCAATTTTTGCAAACACTATCATTCTTGCTCTTTAAGGGAACTACAACCATCATCCCACGCTTCTGTCTTTACGCATATCTCGAAAATCAATGCAACACTAAGAATTAACAACATACTCACTCATGAGTAGGCTTATTTGCTATATATGACTCAAAAAGTGTTTATGTACTTAGAAAAGTGAATATAGATCCAGTATGGTAATATTATATATATATATATATATATATATATATATATATATATATATATATATATATATATTATTATTATTAGTCCCTTGGGTTCCTAGTGGAACATAGGGCTTCAGTAGCACGCCTCCAGTGACCTCTGTTCTCTGAGATCTTTTGAACCTGGTTCCACGACAGCCCAGAAGCTCTCATTTCCTCCTCGCACGACCTCCTCCATGTCACCTTCGGACGTCCAACTCGTCGCTTCCCATGGGGATTCCACTCGAGGGCCTGACGCGTGATGTCCTCAGTCGGCCTTCTCAGTGTATGCCCAATCCATCTCCACTTCTTCCTGCATATTTGTTGCGTGATAGGTTCTTGGTTGGTTCGTTCCCAGAGTTCCTTGTTGCTTATTTTTTCTGGCCATCTGATCTTCAGCAGCGAGCGTAAGCAGTTGTTGATGAATGTCTGTAGTTTATTGGAAATGCCTTTCGTGACGCGCCAAGTCTCTGAGCCATACAAGAGCACTGACTTGACGTTGGTGTTGAAAATCCGTATCTTGTTCCGCATGCTGAGTGCAGAAGATCTCCACACTGGTTTCAGGCTAATGAATGCCTGTCTTGCTTTTCCGATTCTGACTTTGACGTCCTCGTCCGTCCCGCCTGTAGTTGAAACCGTGCATCCTAGATAAGTGAAGGAGGTTACTTCCTTCATATATATATATATATATATATATATATATATATATATATATATATATATATATATATATATATATATAATATTACAGCTAGAAAGAACGTACTTGACAATGCTCTGTCTAGAGAGTTAGTCCGTTGTCTACAAACATGGGATGGTAGGTTCATTGAATTAGAACAAGCGGTATTAGTAAGACTAGATCCATGTGAAACCAATCGATATACTGTTGGACTTGCACTACCAGCTCTACGGGTAGGGATATTTCTTCTAAAATTCACTGCTGAGGAGACTGGTTTGTGACTTGAACAGCTTTTTTGACAAAGTGACAAGACATCAGATCGGTTCACTCGACTTAATCGACCCAATTTGTTGCTCACGCTGTAACCAGCTGAAGTGAAGTCACCGGATCTTCTGTGTAATGACCTTAAAAGAAGACGAAAGTATGGTTCAACATAACAGGCAACATCAAACAACCGATATGGAGATTTGGTGATACTTCCAAGTGTTCTTAGAATCATTTGAACCTCACTTCAAAATTACTCGACCATACAGCTATATTACAATTCTAACTACCAGATAGATACACAAAATCAACATAGGACCTTGCACAACAGTGCACCGGTCCAAGCTATCACACTATACAGTTGCATGCGAAATACAAGTGGGCAGAAAAAGGGTGATATTCAAGTAAAAAACGTCTATACAAGAGAAAGGAATTTGAAAATCAAGGTAATTGAGAATTTTTAAGCCTTAAAAGACGTCAAGGAGTGAATAAATCTGCACCACTGTGACCAATTTTCAGCGCTGTCACCGACGGTCTCCAACCATTGATTCTTATCACCCCAAGCACCTCAGCCAGATAGTTTACGCTCCCTTACATGACTTAGAGCAATAATTAGTGATTTCGTAGACTGGTGCATTGTCTTGGCCTGGCCATCCTGAATCTTCTAATCTAATTCTACTTCAGCTAACATTGCACATCGAGGTAGACGATGGGTCAGCATGCACACTGCACATCCAATTTACCTCAGTCGGTGAAGGTTTACAACCTCATCAACCGACTTGCCTAACACCTTTCACCCAACCTCAGCATTTTTCATACGGTGATTCCACTGTACGTCAGCGATGCTGCGAAATCCTGACTAGCACGTCTATTTATTCGGAGGAAACATTTGCAGATTTCTTGCTACGACAAGAAAAAGTGGGACTTGAATTGCGAATCATTTTTGTCAACAATGGTTACAGGTAGACTATGGCGTAAAAACAGGTCAACCAAAACATATAGCATTTTTGATGATGGTAAGGGGACCACTGAAAAGATATCTACTAAAACAAGAGGCGACATACTCTTGAAGGGATCAGTGAAATCAATGTGAACGCCAGACCAGGGGCATTTTGGTTTGGGTCATTGTACAGTAGGTAGCAAAAAAGGATATCTTGCCGTTTGCCGAAACAATTTAGCAAACAAATTGAAATGCACTCAGAAACCTTGTGCACACTCATACAGATGGCAATGAGCTACAACTAGTGTGCGAGGTTTAGTGTTACCACCTGGCCACCTGAACCTTGGTAGGTGCAGTGGTGACCCATTGACTGAAAGTCAACTCCCTAAACCAATGAGTCACAACTCTTTGATATGTTACTGTCTTCGGTAAGTATGTGAAACTGCAAGCGACTGACCTAATACGTTGGATACCCAGATTCCTACAGCAAAACTGCTTAATATCTTTAGCATGAACAGGTTTAAGTACCAAGATAAACTAATAATGAAGTTTAATAAATCCGAGCATAGGTAAAAAAAAATAACAGCAAAATAATGCGATGATCAAATAATAATCATCATCCAGTGAGGTATCTAGAAAAGGATCGTATTCCTCAACAAATGCATTACATATTATTAGTGAATTTGTTAGCGTTTCAACCAGACCTGCTTTAGTCATATATGAATTGTAGTGCAACCACTAAAGGCTGGTTTAAACTGTGTACTGATCACTACCTATAAGAAAACTATTTGGCAGCTCAAATAGACTCAGACATACAGAGAACCTCAATATTAGCAAACTTTTAGTGAAATTTCAGGTTGGTATTCATTATCTTTAGTGAAACAAAAACAAGAAACATCATAAAGTGTATGAGAATAAGACAAATTAGGTCTATAATTAACAAGTATGTCATAACTGCTATGATAATGAATGCGGAATTAACAATTGCCATAATGTTATGATAAAAACTAAAGTGATTGGACAGCTGAGTCGTCGACTCAAGTGAAATGAGAAATACACTGAAGGAGCATAATAATTTGCATCCATACACCATTTCAAATACCTTTTTCAGTTCACTTAAATTGAAACGGAAATTAAAATGCTACTCAGGAGCCACTTTTACGTTTGTGCAGTAGGCAATGAGTCAAACATAATAAGATTAAAGATAATATCAGGCTTCCTTGATCCCGCTAGATAGAGTGACGTTGAAACCTGTGAATTTTACTTTTAACTTAAATACCAATGTTATCAAAGGTATTAAGTTTCCCAGAAATTCAGTATATATGATTACCATTTGGATTACGTGCCATAAATTTATTTATTGCTCAATGCTTTACTACTAACACAATTACTAAAACTTCATCCATTCAAAATCACACGATTCTGCAAATCCGTAGACGTATCTCTGAAACAATAAATCACACATTTAAATCTGCAATTATCAGTCAAAATGAGCACGCATTCCAACCTTAATTACTCATTGGACCTAAATTACAGTATACAATAACATAACATAACATACAATAACTCACCCTCCTTTTAAAAAGCATAATTCTTCTGACAACTGATCTATTTTACGACGCATTCCTCTCTGGTCAATTGTTGCAGCCTCCAAATCTGCTTGCAATCGAGCTATTTCACGAGTATACTCAACCATTTGGCGAGAGGCTTTCGATCTTTCTTCAAAAAGCTCTGTCTCTAAATTATTTACGAAAGCCTTCAGTCCCAGTTGTTTAACTTTTTCAGAGTATGGTTGAGAATCACCGTCAGAATGCATCTGCTGGTGGGCTTTCATTTGACTTAAACACTCATTGGTATAACGAAGTTCTTCTTTTAATGCTGCATTCTCTGACTGCAACCTGGTTATTTTAAAAGTGATCAGTAACACAATGAGTACTACTCAAGAATCCCATTAATTAAATATAACATGATGAAAATGACAAATTTTTCGTCTGAATTCCATATTTCAAAGCATTTATAGTAACCAAATGGTGAGCTCAAGGTACTTGGAAGAAAATCAACTAAATATGGTTAAGGTTTTAAGGTAAGAAAGAATACACGTTTTGAAGTATGTTACGCTAAAAAACAAGTTTAGACATTTAGAGAAGACATCTTCAAAAGAAAAAAACATAAACAACCCAACGCTATTTCAGGCAATTTAAGAACTAAATCAAAATCAATTGTTCAACAAAGCAGTACAATTCATAGACTAGGCAGGAATTTCAGAAAGAAAAAGACCGTTTCACAGTTCATAGTAAAATTGTTTGATAAATGAATGTTAAATAACTGCAGCTCTAAAAAAAATAGATAATCTAGTTACTCTGTATTGGTCCGAACCAACATCGAGTACAAGTAAACAAATGAGAATGGATTCGGGTACTAAGCTAAGAACCATATCTATTTTTAAAAGTCATTACACTAAGTGACTGCTCAGGTTTCAATGAGTGAAGAGTTTAAAAACTATAACCAAACGGATTAAATGTATATTTCAAGCAAGTAAACGCCATGAGTGATTAGGCACTGATTCACTATCATCTATTTAACGATATATTACAAAATCTTAACACTGTAGGAAGGTCAAAGTGGGAACTACACTGGATGCATAGGAATCCCATACTAGGACGAAATGGCTATTCAGTGCTTCAAGATTTTCAATGTTTCTCCGACTAATGTCAGTTTATGATGAATAACAACCTGAAATCAGTCAATAAATTCCCACAAACCTAATTGAATTTAGAAACTACTCTTCTTTTTTCAGACGGACCTAAATGTTCGTCATTTCAGCTCACAGCTAATTAATTGCAAACCATTCGAAAAAAGAGTTGTTTCTAAATTCAATTTGGCTTGTGGGAATTTATTGACTGATTTCAGGTTGATGCGTCAGAAAAAAGAATAAACAAGTGAATGATGACGAGTGATCACTTTATAGCTACTGTGATTGTTTCTGAATCATGTCACTAAGTGTGCAGTCGTTGATTACCAACAGATCTCAACAACACTAGCCAAATAACTCCGTTTTTCCTGTTCAGCTCAGATCACAGTCTTAAGTGAATTGGTTTGGCCTGGTCAGTGTCGCCTTTCACCCCACCTATTCCTAATCCAGTCAACACTGCATATCAAGGTAAGTGATGGACGAATAAACGTAACGCATGTCTCAACAACTTAATTTCCTGCTTCACCTAGTATACTGCGCTTAACCTAATCGTTAGTCGCTCTCTTGCTCTATTACACACCACCAATACCAGAAACACATCTTCGATTAAAAAAAACCCGACACCACGTGTTTTTCAGTCTAAGCGATCATTTCTCACGCCTGTTTATTAGGATATAGACCACATTTTCGAGGTGAAAGTCAAGAAGTTATAGTACGTTCTGAGGCATAATTGAGTCTTTATTTGATTACCTGCAAAATCTAGTACAGAGTATTCTGTAATCGCATCACACTTAACACGTTTGTGTTTATTAAAAATGAAACTAAACCTTCATAAATATCCTGGAAGCAATGCGCAAAATCAGTTCCAATTTTAGTCCAACAGTAAACCTCTCAACCCATTAGGACATTCATAATTGAAACACGCTTCTGACAATGTGTTTGGCTGGTTGAAAGATTAATGTCAAATGAAAAATATGTTTTGATTACCATGATATCCCATTGCTTATGAAATGAATTAATACAATCTGTTTTAGTAGACTGGTGCCCATAATGACTAACGAACTCATCCGCAACACAATTGGAAAAAAGTGAAGTAATGTGATATTGATTTCTGACTGCAGTCGAAAAACTAATTAAACCTCTTTGAAACAATAGATACAAACATTATTTGCTGTAGAAGTCTAAAATATTTCAAAAATGATGGTAAATGGTTGAATGTGATTATAGGGCACTTAGTAATATGTGTAGCGGCAAATGATTCTCTAGGATTCGACGGAATCCAACATCGATGCTGACTTTCGTAGTTTTTTAATAAATTCGTTAAGCTGGTTGACTGTCTAACAAAACCAGCGTAGAACATCGCACACAAGTGCATCGGCTCAAGTTGCGATACTGTATAGTAGTATACGAAGAACATGTGGATAGAAAAAGACTGATATTAAAGTAGACAAAGTAGTGAGAAAAAACAATGTTGAGATAAAGGTGCAAATATCCAAGCTTTAGAAGACGTTAAAAGGTGAATACGTTTGAGCTATTGTGACCGACTTTCAGCCATATCAACAAAAGTCCTCAACCACTGATTCTCTCGTCTCCGGTGATCAACAGTGGTATCAGCAGTTTCACTTTTAGATACGGCGATCACAACTAAGGAAAGAGTTTTATAGTTGGTCATTAATTTTAAACCTGGAAAATCCTTGGGGCCCGATGAGTTACATCCCAGACTTCTATCTTTGCAAGCAGACATTACTGCTGAGCCAGTCATGGATATTGTCAATATGTCCCTAACTCAGACTAGCCACCCTAGACTGGAAAGATGCCATAATCAGCCCAGCTTTTAAAGCCTGTAGTCGCCAATGGGTATCTAACTATCACCCTGTGAGTTTAACCAGCATAGTTATTAAGATTTTAGAAAAAATAATTCGCGACAAAGTACTTAAACATGTTGAATCAACTAATCTCTTAGCATTACAACACGGTTTTCGTACTGTACACTCCTGTTTAACAAAACTCCTCATAGTGGGAGAGGAATGGGTTGCAACCTGTCACTGCAAGTTCTGATCAGGACATGTTCAGAATACTCTATTCTACTTGCGTTAGACATAACTTGGAATACTGCATTCAGACGGCCAGCCTGAATCTAAAAATGGATGCTGACGCACTCCAGCGTGTTCAGAGGGTAGGTACTAAGCTTGTGGCAGGCCTTTAGAATTTGTCTTATGAGGAACGACTAGATCAGCTAAACTTATTCCCTCTGTCTTACCGTAGGAAGCAGGGTGATCTCATACTAGCATTTCCGATTCTTAATCATGACTTCAATACTGATATGTCCTATCTTTTCTCCCCCGCTAGGAGTGACTATCTCCGAGGGTATCACAAGGAAATTCAAAAACCGTGATAGAATCAACTTAGCGTGAATCTGCGTTTCGCCCATCGTGCTGTCAGCGACTGGAACTCCTTACCTCAGCAAGTAGTATCAGCATCTCCTGTCGACGCGTTCAAAGAGAAACTAGATCTTCACAGATATATCTTGTGCAAGGATTAACACAGGCCAACTGGCCTACTACCCTTATAACTGAGAACTGAATACAAAACCACAGAACGATACGAGGAATTTGTTGATGAATGGAATTATTTGCAGTCGTGCAGCGCGAACCCAGATTTCTATGACTAAAGCTTAGCTCCGTCATAAGCAAAATATCTCTCAAGTAAATCTTGTGATGAAGTGTCCGTCGAGAACTTTAGTTGTTTCCTAAAGTGAAATGCCCCTCTCAGAATCAAAAACAGCTGCTTATGCTCCAACAACAAGTAGGAGTCAAACATTTGCCATCAAAAGTACAAATATCCCTACCTGGAAAGCGCTTTGAGTGATTCTGATTCAACTGACTGTTGTTCGGAGGAATTCTAAAAATATCAGAACAAGCATTAAGACTTACCAAAGTCGTTTGACCATTAAGTAGTTTTACCCTCAGTTTGTGTATAGTACTTCTGTACATTTCCGAGGTTGGACAACCAACAAACGTCAACGGTATAGGGTAGTGAATTTTATCAAATTCAGTTATATAAGACAGGATCAAATAACGCTTATTTACATTCACTGAGATGGGAGATCGAGAAGAATGGTAGCCATTGATGATTTTCATCTTCCTTATTTCACTCAGGTCTTCATAACTGAGTAAATCTAGGGTAAGGAAACTAGAACGCTAAAGACTTGTTATGATAGGATCAAAAAAACCTTAGATAAAGCTGATTGTATCATCGAGCAAAAAACCTCGAACCTCTTGAAATTCCCAGTCTTTCTAGTTAATTCCTCAACAACTGTATAAATAACTGTTAGAAATAGTTTTATGGATGGTTACATGCTTCACATAAGGAAGTATGCCACTCTTCATTGGTGATGAGGTCGGTAAGTTCTATTTTCCATTGAGAAACGTTTTCCGAATAGAAGATAACTTCATATCTTCTCCCGCTGAATTCGTATTCACAATTTAAATACGGGAGACGCTCAATAACCATTTAGATTGTATGATTTATGTTTACCGCTCATTATATAACAAACTATTACCAAACAGATGACCTCACAGTTACTAAATAAAACAAAAGTTTTCCAGTAGGTAGTGTGTGCGTTAATTAGGAGTTCAGGAGAAAACAACCAAATAAGTCAAGATAATACACTAAATCACTTGTCATCTACATGAATCCTGATCATGATTTCAATATCCAATATTTGTCTTCCCAGATTATCTTTTCACCATCTCCAACTCCCTCTTACTATCAGTCCGAACAAGTGCCTGCCAAGCTGGTAGTTGAAGAACCCGACAGCATTGCAGTCCCAGACAAACTTACCAACACTCAACCACCTGCTGAGTATACCACGGCTATGGTAGACGAGTCGCTGGACCTACTGTTGGAGGACTTAGGTCTAAACATAGAAAGAACGACTGGTTGCACTGGCTCTGTATCCTCTCGAATACAGAAGGCTAAGAGGAGACTCGATGACGGCTCACAACATTCTGAGCACCCCTGGACACCTTCAACAGATGGGGCGAAAACTACCTCTGTTGTTACTGCATTCCAATGCCCACAAACTCGAGGGGAGGAGTGTGGACGCATACGGGTTTTTGACCTTTTTCAGGCAATTCTCTTTGGGCTTCTCTGAGGGTCACCATGGTAGCCACTTGGTAGCATTCCTCCATTCGGGTGACTAGGGCCGTTCAGCATTTTGGAAGCCGTTGTGAAACCACCCATTGACCTTCTGTAACTAAGAGAATACAGGTCTAGGTCCACCAGTCCATCGTCTTATGGGTTTTGTCACATCCCTGCAACGCCCTTTTTGTCTTGCCTCTGAACTTTCTCAAGAGGGTTAGAGCCTCTTTTCAGGTGTGGCGGAGAGGAAACCTTATGCACATTCGCGTAAGGTTGTATGTAGGCCTCGTGGAATTTCAAAAACAGCTCTTGTTTGGGGGTACCTGGCTGTCTACACACAAAGTGTGATGCAGAGTATGCTTCAGAGGCACCTACCAGATAACTGGGACTGGTGTCCAGTTTCTCCGTCACCATAAGACCTAGGTCTCCCCCTCTAGAGTATGAGAAGGATGTAAATCATAGAGACAGTAAGGCACTTTCTGCGGAACGGTGGCGAGAGAAAATATGACTTGCCATTTATCCGGTTGAAGTGTCAATTCTTTATTTAACGTCCACTCCCCGAGTGCTTCGAAGTCCTTCTGTAGAGCATTCACCTCTTTGTGCGTCGTTGCTGTCCACAACTTGGTGTCGTCAGCTTGTAGGAAAATCGGAGAGCTGATATGTAGCACGAGGCCGTTCAAGAGCGATAAGAGCAACGACGGAACCAGGATCGCTCCATGTTACACATCGGAAGATGATGTTCTCCAAGTTGAGTAGGACCTGTTGAATTACCATCCAAGTAGTTCCGCAGCCAAAACAGTAACTTGGCGTGAACACCCAGCTATTCCGTGCATTGGGGTGGCTTGTGGGACTATAAAAGGCTTTGGCAGAGTATAGAAAACTCTCGTGTACCGGGATCTTGGGGTCCCAGCCTAATTTCCAGTGGCCGTGGGCTGTCAGAAGGATAGGGGTGCGAGACCTACACTTTCGGAAGCCACGTAGAGCATCACTGAGTGTTTGCCCTCTGTCTAGGTATTCCTTGATGTGATCGTCTATCATGCCCTCCACAACGTTTGATATTGCTGGTAAAAGTGCTGTGGGTCTGTAGCGGCCAGAGTTCTGCCTGTCTCCTCTGGAGACAGGATACGGGATGGTGCGGTTGTACTCCTGTGTTTCCCCTTGTTCGTCGAAAGAGCGTTGGGACAGGCCACAGAGTGGGCCAACTGGGGTGCCGGCACATTTTTTCGACACAGATTACCAGGTGTCGTCCCACATTAGGGATTTTCCCACACCTAACTTTGAGAGCTTATCAGGAACAGTGGAACGAGTTATCTGTGGTTCACATGACTTTGCTGCATCAGAAATTTTCAGGTTGTGGGTATGTGTGCTTGGGTGATGGGATATTGAGTTACGTGCCAAAGGTGGTGCTTAATACTTCGGGGATCTCCTGTCCAGACAGGTTTTCCCCGTTCGGACCTTTGATGACACGTGCTGTTTGGCTTATAGACTCCCTTCGCCATGAATCGCTATAGGTTTCTAGCTTCCACATCAAGCTTTTGGATGAGGTTAGGCTGAAACGACCTCCTGTCTCTCCGCACCCTGATGTTGCACCAATTTCCTGAAGCTGTACATGCGTCACTGTCTGATTGTTCTCCGGAGACCCTGCACTTATGCCTTGCTTTCCCCTAGGCTCTCAAGAGATGCTCGGTGCCTCGTTTTAGCCATGAGGAGACGTTTTAGAAATCGGCACCTTAACAATATCTGTTGCCAGTTCCTAGTCCTAGTCGACCAACAAGCAGAGCCAATCTACCGGCGATAAACATGTTGACAGACACTGGTTCATTTCCTTGTAGTTTGCCTTATTGTAACAAAGGCAAGGCTGAGATCCACCAGCAATAGTTGCTCTCTGATTACTGAACCAAACACTACCGTAACGTGGTCACCATGTCCGAGAAGAGCTGGGATCTGGAGGGTTTCAACTAATAGATGGTTACTGGCCAGCAGATAATCCCCTTTTGTATGGTTCACTACCCGACCCTCGGAGTATATCGTCACCGAACTTTTCGTACACCCCAGCCGTCTGGATAGTATCCAGCATGCTGCGATCAAACGTCCGCCCGAAGTCATGCTGCTCTGCACTAGTCTGAGAATTGGGGAGCTGAGGTCACCAGCTATTAGGGCCTAGTCCTAACCCATGCCCGATACAGTGGACATTATTGTTACCGCTTGTTCCTTGGGTTCCCAGTCGAACCTAGGGCTTCAGTACCACGTCTCCATTTCACTGTCTTCTCTCCATTCTTTTCAACCTGCCTCCACCACAGCACACAAGCTCTTATTTCTTCCTCACACCATCTCCTCCTTGTCACCCCCACATCGGACGCCCAACTCGTCACTTCCCCTTTGGCTTCCACTCGACAGCCTTGCCGGGCCTGATCTGGCGTGCGGTGTCCCTAAGTGGGCTTCTCAGTCTATGCTCAATGCAATCCATTTCTACTTTCTTCTGCATATCTGTTGCGCCGTGGGTTATTGGTTGGTTCGTTGCAGACCAGACAGAGTGGGTTCCTTGTTGCTTGTTCTTACTGTCCCGGCCATCTGATATTCAGTGTGGAGCCAGAGTAGGCGGCTTGCTGCGGTTCCCTTTTCGCGTCATCCTGAGCCGAAATTTGTATCTCATGTATGATTCCGGAAGTAGGCACTCGCATTCCTCTAATGTCTCCAGTCCCCTGGTTGTTCTTAGTAGGTACGTAGTTGTGGCCTCGCAACTGTCTTCGGGACTGATAGAAATCCTCCGCAAAGACGTAGTCTAACACCTCAGAAGGTTCACAGAAGTCACAGGACAGACATCTGTGCTCGTGAACAAATGAAGACAGGGCATGAGCTAACTACGTTGATGAACATGATCATTTGCAGTCATATTTGCTGACGACGTAGCGTTTGTAGACTGCTTGAAAAACTACACAGGCTTCTGTATATTCCACCATCTGCACATCGTCACCTGTCAGCATACTTTCGTGCATATAATACGCTGGGTGCTTCGTTAAAGGACTTAGTACACCATTTGTAGTCGTGAGCACCAGAATAATGCACTTACATCGAATTGCACTTAGCAGTGAAAAATTACGACTTCCTTCACTTGCCTTCCGGTGATGCAGCTCTACGTAGTATTCTCAAGTTTCTCGGACGCCTGACTCTAATGGAAACCACTTGTGTAGGTATTTCTTCAACTGCGCATGGCAACACTCGGCTCCGCCGTTTCTTGTTACCGCGGGGATGATATCCTCCATTAGGCATGCCGGCCACGTTTGCTGGCTCACCCAAAGGTTAGCGTCAGCATACGCTAATGCTGCAAGACATTCCATCTGGATGATACCTCTAGGTTCAAAACACTCTCTCATAACGTACTCTTTAATAAGCTACAGTCAACCGGTATTTGCGACCCCTTATTTAGTTGGATAAAGTCATTTCTTAGTGGTCGTGCTCAAATCGTGAAAGTAAACTCCGTGCAGTCTGAACGTAAACATATAACTAGCGGCGGTATACAGGGTAGTGCCTTGGGCCCTTTTTGTTCATAATTTATATCAACAGTGCGCATAACTGCTTCAGTGGAGGCAAAACATTCCTGTACGCCGATGACTTGAAGGTTGTGTACGCTTGTCACTCCCATGAACTACGTAATACTCTGGATACTGCCCGACAGGAACTAAGTAAACCTGCATCATAGTGTGCTGAGTTGCACCTTGAATTCAATAATGACGAATGCGGTTGGCTTACTGTAGGCGATGACAACCATCACCTGACCCTCGAGGTATGTGGAAAACAGCTACCTAGAAGCTCTTCTATGCTAGACCTTGGCATCACTTATTCCAGAGGCTTGACATTCTGAGAACAAACAGCATATATCAGATCCAACTAACCCAAACTCTTGGGATGTATCATTCGTAACTTCTCTAGCAGTGGATCACGGGTTCTATTCGATAGTGTGCATTCGCCCACTTTTAGAATATTGCTCGTTCATTCTCAGTGGCCTTCGTGGAAGCGATAAACTGAAAGTTGAAGGGGTGCAACGTTACTTCACCCTCAGAACATTAGGAGCCGACTCTAATCTAGACTACACGTCTAGATGTGACATTCTGGGGTTATAACTACTCTAGAAGAGACTTAAACCGAACGTCATATTTTATCATTAGTTACTTCATCAGCACTTGCACTCCCATGGTCTGCAAATCAAGCTGATCGTAATGTCCACATACGATATGCGCAGCCACAAAGTATTGGTTGAAACTGAGTGTTATACGATGAGGTTGCGAGATAATTTCTCCCCCATTGTGTTCGCAACCATTTGGAATAGGCTTCCAGAAGAAACTCGCACGGCAAGCTCGTTGACACTTTTCCGCTCCTCACTCAATAGGCTACTAATAAACGATAAGCATATCGCTCAATT